AGAGTCTCGCTCTGTTGCCAGGCTGGAGTGCAGTGGCTCAATCTTGGCTCACTGCAACCTGTGCCTCCTGGCTTCAAGTGATTCTCCTGCCTCTGCCTCCCGAGTAGCTGGGACTACAGGCTCCCGCCACCAAACCCAGCTGATTTTTGTATTTTTAGTAGAGATGGGGTTTTACCATGTTGACCAGGCTTGTCTCGAACTCCTGACCTCAGGTGATTCACCTGCCTCGGTCTCCCAAATATATATATATATTTTCTAGACAGGGTCTCACTCTGTTGCCCAGGCTGGAGTGCAGTGGGATGATCTTGGCTCACTGCACCCTTCGCCTCCCAGGTTCAAGCTATTCTCCCATCTCAGCCTCCCGAGTAGCTGGGATTATAGGCGTGCACCACTACACCTGGCAAATTTTTGTATTTTTAGTAGAGACGGGGTTTTGTCATGTTGGCCAAGCTGGTCTCAAACTCCTGGTCTCAAGTGATCTGCCCGCCTCGGCCTCCCAAAGTGCTGGGATTACATGGGTGAGTCACCGCACCTGGCCAGATGTCACATTTTTAATCAAGCAACAGTTTGCTAGGGATGGACAGATTTGGGGCATGTGGGAGAAGGATAGGAATAATGGATGGGCCTGTCAACTGGTTGCCTCTAATCAAGGGGACTTAGTAAAGTGGTAGACCAAGGCCAGGTTACCTTAATCAGAACGTTAGCTTTGGACCTAATATTGCATCTTAGAAATTGAACTTTACTGTCTCTTTCAAGTGTAGTTTTACTTTTGGCAACAGACAGATGTATGTCCAACTTCACAACATCCTGCCCATTTTCTCTAATAGTTTTGTGCTGCCTGCAAGTTATTCAAGGCAAGTTTTAAGGCCAAAGAATGTTTTTATTGTGATTTCGAGTTGGCAGGCATTGAGACTTAGTGGAAAGCACCGAGGGGCTATTGGGCCTCCGGAGACCTGGTTCTAGTTCCAAGCTTGTTGTGTGTAGGCCTGCAGAAGTGCCATTACACATTCAGATGAGGTATCTGGGGTTGAAGCCCTGAGAAACGTGGAAGTTGTTCATTTTTTTTTTTACAGGCCTCAGTTCCAGGTCCAGCCCTGTTTGCAGGGTGGAGGGGGCTGAGATGTTTTGATTCTGGGGTAATTGTTGCAAGTCTTTGTGCAGGGCCTGCTGGGGAGGGCAGGGGCACCAGAGTCTTGGCCCCTGGCCTCTGCTTGTTTGAGTTATGGGCTGCTCCAGCAACTGGTCTCTTCAATCCTTGGGGACTTCTGAAGGATAGGCTTTGGGTGACTGGAGACAACTCTGGTCACAACCTCCCCACCCCACAAATGAGGAAAGACTGGCATAGGATCACAAATTGTCAGAGCAGAAGGGGACCCAGACTGGCTGAAAGTCACACACACTGGCCACAGGCCTGTTATGTAGTAAAGAATCCCCAGAGATCTTCTTACATAAAACAAAACAGATTCCTGGGTGCTGCCAAGCTAGGCTTCCTGAATCAGAATATACGGCGGTGGAGCCTGGGACTCTTGAATAAACACCCGAAGGATTCTTATGGATAGCTGCCAGGCCTGGAAGCTTGTGACCTGGTCAAATCGCTCTACTTTTCCTAGGGAAACTGAGGCCCAACAAAGCCTTGACCCAGACATCAGTAGACCTAAAATCAGAAATGAGGTCTTCTGACCTACAGTTTGATGTTCTTTCCACACCAAGACCAGGCGCCTACAGGACTCAAAAGAACTGCCCATTATTTATTGGTTTTAATTTTCTTAAAATCAAGGTTACTAATGCACACAGTGTAAAGAGTCAAATCAGGTGGTTTCACAGGCATGCATGAAGAACATAGCTCCCCGTCCGGCTGTCCCATCTGCCCCTCTGCAGAGGCAACCATTTCAACTCTTTCAGCAGATTCTGCTGCTGTTAACTGTCACCCTTGGCATTATTTGTGTTTTTACAATAAGCATGCATCACTTTGTTACTCTTGCTTGGTTTTAATAATACAGTTAGGATGGGTCGCCAGGTCTGGCACTGGGCCTGGACGCCCAGGCATCGTGGAGTGCCTCCGTGGTCACTGGGCACAGGCCACCAGCTCCTCCAGGGCTTGCTCTCGGCGGTTGCCATGGACCAGCAGCACCTCCTTGATCCGGTCCTGCTGGAAGCCCATGTCGCTGAACTGCTCCCAGAGGCGCAGGAACTCCCCTGCCTGAGGAAGAGGAGACAGGGAGGGTGCTGGGGACTCTGCTGGGCCTGGCCTCAGCCGAGGGGAGCCTCAGCTTAAAAGCTGTGGTTTTCCTAGTCCCAAAAAGCTGTGGCTCCCCCCAGGCCACTTGAGCCTGATCCTGGGCCGCAGCTGCCACTTTCCTGAATCTCTAGGGTGATGTAGGCTCCGACCTCCCTTCCTCTGCCAAGAAAACAAGGCCCTAGCCTGGCCACAGGCTGTCCTGACTCTCCTCCCACTCACTGTCAATTTTCTGCTGGGGCAGACCGCACACCGGCACCCGGAGCACAAACAGCCCAAGGTCCCTGCCCATGCCCTGAACACTGCGGAGGTCTCACAGCGCAGCCTGCACCTTCCTTCCCCTCCGACCCCAGGGCTTGAAACTTCCCCACCTCTGCTCCCTCTCTCTTTCTCGGGGCCTCACTCCCCTTCAGCCTCTGTGAAGAGCTGCTCTGCCATGGGGCACTCAGAAGTGACTACTGGGGCCGGGTGCGGTGGCTCACTCCTGTAATCCCAGCACTTTGGGAGGCCGAGGCAGGTGGATCACTTGAGGTCAGGGGTTTGAGACCAGCCTGGTCAACATGGTGAAACTCCGTCTCTACTGAAAATACCAAAAACAATTAGCCGGGTGTGGTGGCAGGCACCTGTAATCCCAGCTACTCGGGAGGCTGAGGCAGGAGAATTGCTTGAACCTGGGAGGCAGGGCCAAGATCGTGCCATTGCACTCCAGCCTGGGCGACAGAGTGAGACTCAGTCTCAGAAATCAAGATGTGACTATTGGGCCTACAGCTGCATGCACTTGGGATAGGTGGCACACTCCCCAAGCAGAGAGGTCATGCATCTTTATGCTGCCCGTGGCTTCTATCTGGATGTCTGACAAAGAGTGGGCATTCAGTTCTAGAGGCTGCGTTGGTTCAGTCTAACAAAGCAAAGCCCCTGCCGCTCTCTGCCTCCCATCCCCCTCCGACCTCTTCCTGATCTCCCTCTGTGCCTCTCTCCTTTGTCCTTGCTGTAGCACCCTGGACCATCTCCTCCCCAGAGCTGAGGAGTCAGGCAATCTCCCGACGGACCCACAGGCTGGCTCTGAAGACTGGTGTGCCCCTGCACCCAGGCTCCTGGGTACACCCCCATCCCTTCCATCGCCTGGGGTCCTGGCAGGAAGCCCTGCTGACCTGGCTCTCGGAGAACTGGAACATCTCCATGGCCTCGTCCACCAGGCCTTCCTCATATCCCTGACGTAACAGGCGGTCACAGGCACTGAGGTAGCTGAGAAACTGGGCCGGAAGAGGGCAGAGAGGGACGGAGGGTAAGAGGAGCAGCAGGGGCAGCAGCCGGGGCAGAGGCACTCCAAGGGCCTGAGCTGAGGGCCAGGCAACAGGGCAAGCCACTACATGCAGTGTGGCCCCAGAGATCCCGTGAGCCCACAGAAGAGGGGACAGGCAGACAGTGGGTCTTCACCAACTATCCCAAGTTGGGAGCTGGACTCCAGGAAAAGGGCTGTCAGGTGGGCTAGGGTGTTCATAGAACCTAGGTGGGGAGCAGGACAGGCTTCAAACAGGCATCCCACCTACTACCCAATGCAATTCAACATTCGTGCACCACCCATCCCTGCCCAGGAGCACCCATTCGTGTGAAGGTGCCTCCTCATCCGTCCACACCTGTGCACCCCTACTCTACCCCCAGATGCATCTCTCTCATCCCGGACTCCTGAGCCATTACTATGCAACTCCTGCATCAGTGCTGGAGAAGGGGTGCGGGGGAGGCACAGAGGAGGATTCCACAGGTTAGAAAAACTGTTCAGGTCACCCCACAGTTACGTCATCAGGGGCCCAGGATAAAATGCTACTCCTTACCAGGCAGGGCTCAAAGGCCTGTTCCCTGTCTATGGCCTTGGCCCCTCCCTCACCCTCCAGGACTCTGCAGATGCAGCACCCTCAGCCAAGGCCGGCCTCCTTCCCTGTCCCTGGGAAGCTTCCTGCCCCCTCTGTCTTCCTCGGTGCTGTCCCTCGTGCCCCCATAGCACCCTGTGCTTCCCTATTACAGCACATGTAACTTTGTAATTGCTTCACTCAATCTTTCTCATCCACTAACTTTTTGCTCCATGAGGGAGGGGCTGTGTCAGTCTCATTCACCACAGTGTCCCCAGCATCCAGCATGGTGGCAGAAGGAGCTCAATAAATGTATGCTGTGTTTATAAAACGAATGAAGACCTGCCTTCAAGGAACTCACAGCTTAGTGGGGGAGATAAACCAGATACAGGACCACATCAGTGCCAGGCAAATCAAAGCAGGATTTATAGGGTGTAGGTGCCAAATGAAGGCTCCAGACCACAGGAATTATGAGAATATGTGGAGAAGGGAGAGTGGGGTTTCTGCAGACCTTCAGAGCTGGGATGAAAGTGCAGATCATCTAGACTAACAGTTTTCAAATTGTTTTTAGCTCCTGAAGTGTTTATCTTAGCACAAGGAGGCTTCAGCAATAACAGGCTAAGATCAGAGCTGCTCTGGGAGAACAAGGGCCAGGGGCATGGGGGCCCGGAGTCCAGTGCTCCTGCCCAAGGTACTGCCCAATACAGCCAGACCTGCTCTGAGCACATTTTGAAAACCACACACCCGTGCCCTCCTTTCACAGTTGAGGAAACTGAGGTTCAGGCAAGGCAGGTGCCTTGCCCAGGGTCCCAGGACTAGGCCCCCGATTATGTAACCTGTCACTTAATGCCTTGTCCATCAGAGGGATCAGCTGCTAGAGGAGGGGCTTTGAGCTGTCTTGGTGGAGGACAGGGTTTCCAAAGGTGAAACCTTCACTTTCAGAAGGAGGGCAGGCAAGGATGGATGGTGGACGCTGCCTCCACCTTTTGGCTCATCCACAGCAATGGTTCTCAATCTCAGTGCTTATTGCAGCCGCCTCGGGAACTTGAAATATTACTGATGTCTGGGCCTCACCTTCAGAGGTTACGATATAATTGGTCTGGGGTGTAGCCTGAGCATTGGGATTTTTTCCTATAGCTCTCCAGGTGATTCTAATGTGCACCCAAGACTAAGCGTCACTGAATGGGGACAGCTGACCTTGATCTATACTATGCCACCGTGAATATCAGACCCATCTGCACATTTTTTAAATTAAAGGCCCCTGGGCTCCCCCCAGATCCACTGACTGGGACCCCGCAGGATAAGCCCTGAGAGTCTACATTTGCAAAGGTTCTGCTGCTTGGTTAGCTTTTGGGCCTGCAGGACTGTAGAAGCTATCAGGCTTGCCTCAGGCTCCCAGGTGGGTGAGATGTCACCTTCAGGCCACAGGATGGGGCCCCCGGAAGTCACTGGTTCCAAACACGTATTCCCCCTCCACCCTGTGAACTGGGAAACTGAGGCTAAAAGAGGTGGCCTGGCCTGTGGACCCTCACACGTGGCACCCAGGCCTGTCCTGCAGGGAGGCAGTGAGGGCACATCAAGCCTTGTGGAAGGAAAGGAGTGCTGCACAATTTCTTTTTTATCTTCTCTCCCTGACTCTTCTAGCTGCTCTGTCTCTTATCACCTGACGCCCTTCCTCCTGGGCCATCTGTCATTTTTCTTGGCCAAAAAGGATTTACTGCAATATGCGGCTTTCAGTGGGAGAAGGAATCTGAACCCAAAGGACTTGTTCAGTTACCAGGACTTCACAGAACAGACAGAAATACTAACTTGGTGGGGGAGGATAGATGAAGTCATCCAAAGGCCCCTCAGACCCACCCCTTGGGGTCTGGCTCCTGACTGCTGTCTGGGGAAGGCCACCCAGAGATCCAGGGGGCCAGGCAGGTGGTCAGTCTATATCTGGAAACACAATGTTCCCAATACAGTGAAATGCTTCCAGCTCACCCACTGGGAGGCCAGGGCCCCAGGCTGGCTCTGACTCATCCTCAGACCCCCAGAGAGATGGCCTGAGACCTCAGCCTTGTCACAGGGCCTGAAGGGACTGGGGAGGCATATCAGAGCCCCACTGTGCACCTGGCCTCACAGCCCTCCTGGCCAGTTTTTTGGCCAAGACCCTGGCTTTTCAGTATCAGCGGAAGGTAGGGATGACTTTAGATCTGCTCTTAAATCTCAGATCAGCCTATAGTGCTGTCCTGGGAGGTTCTCACACAGAAAATGAGATAAAAGGCATCGTGCAACCAAGATGCAGCGTCAGACCAGCCGGCCTCACCCCAGTGCTGCCATTGACTGACCGCATGAACTTCCCTGGCCTCAGTTTCCTCATCTGCAAAGTGGTCATAACGTAATAGCAACCTTGCAGAATTGAGAAAACCTAACTGAATACCCTCAGAGAGAGAGATTCATGCAAAGAAAATGTTCAATAAATGTTAGCACCCCTCCCTGCCATTTTAGCCACATGGAGGTCACTGTTGGAAATTCCCCTCCAGGACAGGGCATGAACTGATGAACCCAGAGTAGAGCAGAAGCAGGAGTGGGTGGGCAAGGGGACCAGGTGCATTTCCCCAGCCCCACCCCAGCTCCTGTTTGAAAGTCACTTTCCTTCTGCCATTCCCTCTTGCAGGAGCAGATAGCTCTGGACTGCAGGGACCCAGCATTCCATACTCATCAGTGATGACGGAGGTGTCCAAGCCTTTTGATGGCGGGGCAGGAATGGGAGAAAAATGAAAAGTGCCAACTACCCTGGGAACAGCCATCCAACCATGAAGCGTCCCGATGTTTAGAAAACAGCACAGTAAGGGATGTTGCTTTCAGTTAGGGACGTGGGGGTGTAGGCAATGGCATTCAGTGTCACCTCCTGACCCTACTTACAATCCTTCCATGCCTCCTTTTGGCTATTGGGTCATTTATCAAATTCTCAGGCCAGGCTTCAAGACCCCTAAATCTACCCCCAATTCTCTTTGTCTCATCTCCTACTAGCCTGCCTCATGCACCCTCTCCTCCAACAAGACTGGTCAGATCAGAGCCTCCCAAACACTTCCCTCCCACCTCCACTCCTTTATTCATACTGTCCTTCCCTCCTGGAATATCACCCCTTCTCCTTCCTTCAGAGTCAGATCTTATCCATCCTTGAAGTCCCACTCAATGCTTGGTATCTCCATGAAGCCTTTCTTGATCACTAGAACCTCCTTGTGGTAGATTGAGAATGATCATAAAATTTTTTGTAGCCTCTCCCACCAAGAGATGGAGTCTGTTTTTCCCTTGTTTAAGTTTGGAGTGGTCAGTGATGTGCTTTGACCAATAGAATGAGGCAGAAGTGACTATGTACAATTTCAGCCTAGGCCTCAAGAGGCCTTACTCTTGGAACCAAGTAGGGTGGCTTGCTGGAGATATGTGGCCCAACTGACAAGTATCACCACCCACTGTATGGTGAATGAGGCCATCTTAGATCATTCAGCCCCAAGTAAGTCACCAAACTGTAGCCACACGAGACTTCAGGTGAGATGAGCAGAAGAACCCCCTAGCTGAGTCCACCTTAAAACTGCCAATCCAGAGAATCATGAGCAAATAAATGGTTGTTTTGAGTCACTAAGTTTTGGGGTAGTTTGTTACACAAAAATAGATGACAGAAACACCCCTATAACACTCATACCACTTCTTCTCCCAGGTATCTTGTGACTAGCACCTCTTTTTAAGCACTTTGGGGGCCCTCACTCCTCTGCAGGTGTTCTTATATTCTTGGCTTATATTAGGGGTCAAGACCTGCTTCCAAATATTAGCGTGGCTCAGAGTGCTGTCCTTGGAGTGTCATCATGAGTCTC